CGTGGTTTAATGCCCTCAAATCGGAATGGAAACAATACCTGCGTGAGCACATGGCGGCAAACGAGGACAACGGAGTATCCGGGCAGCGTGAACTCGGTGCAGCGGCAACCCTGCACATGAGCACACTGCGGCTGTGGAGAGAATGGATAGCGCAACAACATCGCAAAATGAGTATGTATGGCCAGAAGGCGTGGTTCCAACATTTGTTGCATAATGTTGAGACGGCCACAGTACCGGCCACAGGCGAAGTATCAGTAGTCCAAAAAGACTTAAAAGTGGAAAACGTAAATGTAGCACACCAGATGATACAAGTGAGAGATGTACCGCGCACCCAACTGCATCCGCGACCTTACATGAAAAAACCGTTAACCGCTAAAACATGGATACTGATCCTGCCATTAGTCATAGAAGACAGCGAGCTTGAAAGCCGTTTGCAGGATAGGGAGTTATATGTGGATAATTTATTACAGAACATTTGAGAAGCTTTACGCGAAACGGCTGAAAGAAGGGGATGTAGACGTTGTTCTCCTTCAGCCGGGCTGTCCCTGTAGGTGATGTTGTAATGGGTCATGCACCAATATATGCGTCCACATAATATGCTACGCAAGGTATGTTGTTATTATCATGAACATATTAATAGTGCTCAAACTGGAAGATGTTAGTGCAGCGCCAGAAATTGTGGGAGTGTTAGGGAAAAAAAAAAGGAAGAATGTTATATTTTATAAACATACTTGCTCCATGTTGTATCCATGGTAATCATTTTGTATATTTGTTACATGTATTATATAAAATAATTATTCCTTATATATATAGATGTAGAATACTATAAGACTCTTCTTCTTTGTTTGTTCTTAACAATGGGTTCCTCATCCATAATATTAATAAATACTGGGTCATATGAACAAACAATGCAATATAAATACAAACCATTTATATTCATAAGAGCACAAACAACATTATAATGTAGAACACGCAACTATAGGATACATGCTATAAAGAACAAATAGCCATATCATACAAAACCTGTAGGACATCATGAGATGTTTGATCTAATAAATAGACAAAATCATGTTGTAGCATCCATATAGTCTACCAAAAGCAGAATACAGGAAGTTACTTATGGTTTCCCCGGTAATTTAAGTTTCCATGGTAGTTTTAGTTTCCCAGGTGCTTTCGGTTTCGTAAGTATGTCTGCTTTCTTAGGTACTTCTGATTTCCCAGATGATTCCGGTTTCACGCGTACTTCTGGTTTCTGAGGTACTTGTGCTTGGCCGGGTACTTCCGGTTTCTTTGGCACTTCTGTTTTTCCAGGTACCTCCATTTTGTTAGATACTTCTGGTTTCTTAGGTGCTTCCGGTTTCTTTGGTATGTCTGGTGTCTTTGGCACTTCTGGTTGCTTAGGTGCATCTGATTTGCCAAACGCTTCCTGCTTCTCAGGTACTTCTGTTTTCTTAGGTGCTTCCAGTTTCTTCGG